GGTTGGGTGGGGTGCAGAAGGCAAGTGCAAACTGAAATCAGGGCTGAGTTCCAGTTTGTCCAGCCTTTCAGCAAAGCACAAAAGTACCATGTGGGCCAGCAGGGGCCTGGTCTGGAAAGGTCATTTTGCTACTAGTAGCTCTTAGGATTACTCAGGTCAAAGGAGCTATAGACCGGTTGATAGGTTTTAAAAATTTCTTGTGATCTTATATACTATTTTAAATGTGTTCTGCCCATATATCGCCCTATATAAAGAGAATATCTGAATATTGCTAAGTTATACTGCGTTATCAATAGCTGTTTTGTTCCAGCACTTGGCAGCCGTTCATCTTTGTTTTCCTGGTTTTGACTGTAAACATTCAATTCATCTCAGAATTTTAAGAAAAAGTGTTTGAAGTTGAAACACAGATTTAGGAGCATGGAGGGAAAATGCAGGGGAAGGGGTGTCTAATACCTGTTTTCTCCCACTATGTTAGCAAAATGTGCCTGCATTTTCTAACGAATTCTGGAATGGTTAGTTAATGAGTGTTGTTTTTTTTTTTTTTTACCTCATGCTTGCCAGCAGGAAATTTATGTTTGTGTTCATTACAAGGAAAATTGTACTAGAATAGTACAATTATTTTCAGAGTTTGGTTTTTTCTTCCAGTGAATTTCCAATGATAACCATCTGCCTTTTTAAAAAAAGGTCACACCTCTTATGTTGCATTAGGCATGTTTGTGGAAAGTTCTCTTGTGAGTATGCTTTTATAATTGGGGAAATTTGTAAGAAGTAGTTCATGCCATGGAAATGCACTTAATTTAAAGAATCTTTAGATTTAAATATAAGCAGGAACAAATGGAAACTTATAATATTTTGCTTTTCTGAGCAACTAAAAAAGTCCATTTCAGTTGACCATACAGATAAAACATGGCTTTCTCTTCCCCACATAACTACAGAAGAAAACCCACTTATGTTATTTTATTTAACTGAATTATACTTGATGAATGACACAAATGCATATTTAGAGATAATAATGGTCCACATTTTAAAGGCTCAGGCTATTTACCATGGTCTGGGAAGAGACTAGGTAACTGCCTATAAAATAAAGAACATTTTTTGTTATTAACTCATGTCCTTAAGTAATATATGAATCTTGATGCAGTAGAAGGGCTAAAAGGATCAAAGCTGAAGTTATACCTAAATTTATCGATTGGCATTTTTTTTTTTAAATAAAGAAGTGTTCTCTACTACTCGTTTACTTTTTTAGGATCATTCTCGAGTCATAGATTATTTTTTTTAATTCAGTGCCTCAAAGTTTGGCCAGTGGGAGCCCCTTTCAAGCTGACTCTTGTTTCCTTTTGATATGCCCCCCCTCCGCTTTTGAGTCCCTCTTTTTTAAAGGTCATATGAAAGAAGTAAACACTGCCTAATCTATTGAGATTCACGAATACTGTTAAGACTTCTGGGAGCCCCTTTCAAGCTGACTCTTGTTTCCTTTTTGATATGCCCCCCTCTGCTTTTGAGTCCCTCTTTTTTAAAAGATCATATGAAAGAAGTAAACACCGCCTAATCTATTGAGATTCACAAATACCGTTAAGACAAGACTTTTATGTCGGAAGCCAGCCGACCAAGTCAAACCGGGTACCTGAATGGGGGAGCGGGGACTGAGAAAAAAGAGAAGACAGACAGGGTGCAGGAAGGAGAACAGATCTCACAACTGTCTCTCCGAGTTTATTTCTTCGGCTCCTTTTTATACATATTCTGTTCCTTTGTGTATCCCAAGATAACATAGTTAAAGTAACATCTTGAAGATCAAGGTACAATCGAAACTCCCTTTGTACTTCTTGTTTCTAATCTTAATCTTCTTCTTCCTGGAATTCCTCAGAACCAGCTTTTTCCCTTTTATATGCAAGCAGGCCTCCCGAGATAATCCATGCACTCCTTTGAATTTTGGGAGCTTTAGCTCCCTACAGAGAGATAGCAGACACAGTGCGTAA